TAAGGGGCCCACACTTTCCTTGACTTTCTTCTTGTTGCTAACATATCTGAAGAAACCCTTCTTGTTACTCTTAACATCTCTTACTAGCTGCAACTCCAGGTGTGATTTGGCCTTCCGGATTTCACTCCTGCAAGTCCGAGCAATATTTTATACTCCTCCCTGGTCATTTGTCCAATCTTCCACTTCTTGTAAGCTTCTTTTTTGTGTTTAAGAGCAACAAGGATTTCACTGTTAAGTCAAGCTGGTCGCCTGCCATATTTACTATTCTTTCTACACATCGGGATGGTTTGTCCCTCTAATCTCAATAAGGATTCTTTAAAATACAGCCAGCTCTCCTGAACTGCTTTCCCCCTCATGCTATTCTCCCAGGGGATCTTGCCCATCAGTTCCCTGACGGAGTCAAAGTCTGCTTTTCTGAAGTCCAGGGTCTGTATTCTGCTGCTCTCCTTTCTTCCTTGTGTTAGGATCCTGAACTCGACCATTTCATGGTCACTGTCTCCCAGGTTCCCATCCACTTTTGCTCCCCCTACTAATTCTTCCCAGTTTGTGAGCAGCAGGTCAAGAAGAGCTCTGCCCCTAGTTGGTTCCTCCAGCACTTGCACCAGGAAATTGTCCCCTACATTTTCCAAAAACTTCCTGGATTGCCTGTGCACCGTTGTATTGCTTTCCCAGCAGATATCAGGGTGATTGAAGTCTCCCATGAGAACCAGGGCCTGCGATCTAGTAACTTCTGCGAGTTGCCGGAAGAAAGCCTCGTCCACCTCATCTCCCTGGTCCGGTGGTCTATAGTAGACTCCCACCATGACATCACCCTTGTTGCTCACACTTCTAAACTGAATCCAGAGACACTCAGGTTTTTCTGCAGTTTCATACTTGAGCTGTGAGCAGTCATACTGCTCTCTTACATACAGTGCAACTCCCCCACCTTTTCTGCCTTTCCTGTCCTTCCTGAACAGCTTATATCCATCCATGACAGTACTCCAGTCATGTGAGTTATCCCACCAAGTCTCTGTTATTCCAATAACATCATAATTCCTTGACTGTGCCAGGACTTCCAGTTCTCCCTGGTTGTTTCCCAGGCTTCGTGCATTTGTATATAGGCACTTGAGGTAACCTGCTGATTGCCCCTCTTTCTCAGTATTAGGTAGGAGCCCTCCCCTCTCACGCGCTCCTGCTCGTGCCTCCTCCCGGTATCCCACTTCCCCACTTACCTCAGGGCTTTGGTCTCCTTTCCCCGGTGAACCTAGTTTAAAGCCCTCCTCACTAGGTTAGCCAGCGTGCTTGCGAAGATGCTCTTCCCTCTCTGCGTTAGGTGGAGCCCGTCTCTGCGTAGCACTCCTTCTTGGAACACCATCCCATGGTCAAAGAATGCAAAGCCTTCTCTTCGACACCACCTGTGTAGCCATTCGTTTACTTCCACGATTCGACGGTCTCTACCCAGGCCTTTTCCTTCCATTGGGAGGATGGACGAGAACACCACTTGCACCTCAAACTCCTTTATCCTTCTTCCCAGAGCCACGTAGTCTGCAGTGATCCGCTTAAGGTCATTCTTGCCAGTATCATTGGTGTCCACATGGAGAAGCAGGAAGGGGTAGCGATCCGAGGGCTTGATGAGTCTCGGCATTCTCTCACATCAACGGTGACGGAGAGAATGCCGAGACTCATCAAGCCCTCGGATCGCTACCCCTTCCTGCTTCTCCATGTGGACACCAATGATACTGGCAAGAATGACCTTAATCATTCAGGAGAATCTTAGCTCCTGGCAAGCAGCAGATTTCTCGGTTTTCCCGATCGGGGCGGCAGATAGATGACTCAGTCCCCCTGAGGAGAGAGTCCCCGACCACCACCACCCGCCTCCTTCTCCTGGGAGCGGTGGTTGTGGAACCCCCAACCCTAGGACAGTGCATCCCATACCTTCCAATCGGCGGAGTCTCTTTCTGCTCCCTTCTCTCAGATGTATCATCTGGTCCACTCTCCGCATTAGTACCTGTGGAGAGAAAGTGAAAATGGTTACTTACCTGTATCTGTCCTGCTGGTACATGGACGTTCCCCTTTTTTCTTCTGGAGGTCACATGATGCCAAATTTCTTCACCATCTTTCTGTCCCCGATGTGCAGCCTGCTCTGAATCTTCAGAACCTTTAGCCCGTAGAAGCCTATCCTGACATCCATCCAGGAAATCTTCAGTTTCTCTGATGCAACGCAGGGTCGATACCTGTTGCTCCAGACCTTGAACCTTCTCTTCCAGTATGGAGACCAGCTTGCACTTTGTAGAGACAAAGTCGCATCTTGCAAATTAATTCCAATTCAGCAGTCTCTCGTTGGAGTCTGTTTTTGAAGTTTTTTTGTTGAAGTATTGCCACTTTTAGGTCTGTAATCGAGTGACCAGAGAGATTGAAGTGTTCTCTGACTGGTTTTTGAATGTTATAATTCTTGATGTCTGATTTGTGTCCATTTATTCTTTTACGTAGAGACGGTCCAGTTTGGCCAATGTACATGGCAGAGGGGCATTGCTGGCACATGATGGCATATATCACATTGGTAGATGTGCAGGTGAACGAGCCTCTGATAGTGTGGCTGATGTGATTAGGCTCTATGATGGTGTCCCCTGAATAGATATGTGGACTCAGTTGGCAGCAGGCTTTGTTGCAAGGATAGGTTCCTGGGTTAGTGGTTCTGTTGTGTGGTATGTGGTTGCTGGTGAGAATTTGCTTCAGGTTGGGGGACTGTCTGTAAGCAAGGACTGGCCTCTCTCCCAAGATCTGTGAGAGTGATGGGTCATCCTTCAGGATAGGTTGTAGATCCTTGATGATGCATTGGAGAGGTTTTAGTTGGGGGCTGAAGGTGATGGCTAGTGGCGTTCTGTTATTTTCTTTGTTGGACCTGTCCTGTAGTAGGTGACTTCTGGGTACTCTTCTGGCTCTGTCAATCTGTTTCTTCACTTCAGCAGGTGGGTATTGTAGTTGTAAGAATGCTTGATAGAGATCTTGTAGGTGTTTGTCTCTGTCTGAGGGGTTGGAGCAAATGCTGTTGTATGGTAGAGCTTGGCTGTAGACAATGGAAAGTGTAGTGTGGTCTGGGTGAAAGCTGGAGGCATGTAGGTAGGAATAGTGGTCAGTAGGTTTCCGGTATAGGGTGGTGTTTATGTGACCATCACTTATTAGCACCATAGTGTCCAGGAAGTGGATCTCTTGCGTGGACTGGTCCAGGCTGAGGTTGATGGTGGTATGGAAATTGTTGAAATCATGGTGGAATTCCTTAAGGGCTTCTTTTCCATGGGTCCAGATGATGAAGATGTCATCAATGTAGCGCAAGTAGAGTAGGGGCATTAGGGGACGAGAGCTGAGGAAGCGTTGTTCTAGGTCAGCCATAAAAATGTTGGCATACTGTGGGGCCATGCGGGTACCCATAGCAGTGCTGCTGATTTGAAAGTATGCATTGTCCCCAAATGTGAAATAGTTATGGGTGAGGACAAAGTCACAAAGTTCAGCCACCAGGTTTGCCGTGACATTATCGGGGATACTGTTCCTGACGGCTGGTTGTCCATCTGTGTGTGGAATGTTGGTGTAGAGGGCTTCTACATCCATAGTGGCCAGGATGGTGTTTTCTGGAAGATCACCGATGGACCGTAGTTTCCTCAGGAAGTCAGTGGTGTCTCGAAGATAGCTGGGAGTGCTGGTAGCATAGGGCCTGAGGAGGGAGTCTACATAGCCAGACAGTCCTGCTGTCAGGGTGCCAATGCCTGAGAGGATGAGGCATTTAGGATTTCCAGGTTTATGGCTCTTGGGTATCAGATAGAATACCCCAGGTCAGAGTTCCAGGGGTGTGTCTGTGCGGATTTGTTCTTGTGCTTTTTCAGGGAGTTTCTTGAGCAAATGCTGTAGTTTCTTTTGGTAACTCTCAGTGGGATCATAGGGTAATGGCTTGTAGAAAGTGGTGTTGGAGAGCTGCTGAGCAGCCTCTTGTTCATATTCCGACCTATTCATGATGACGACAGCACCTCCTTTGTCAGCCTTTTTGATTATGATGTCAGAGTTGTTTCTGAGGCTGTGGATGCCATTGTGTTCTGCACGGCTGAGGTTATGGGGCAAGTGATGCTGCTTTTCCACAATTTCAGCCTGTGCACGTCGGCAGAAGCACTCTGTGTAGAAGTCCAGTCTGTTGTTTCGACCTTCAGGAGGAGTCCACCCAGAATCCTTGTTTTTGTAGTCTTGGTAGGAAGGTCTCTGTGGGTTAGTATGTTGTTCAGAGGTGTGTTGGAAATATTCCTTGCGTCGGAGGCGTCGAAAATAGGATTCTGGGTCACCACAGAACTGTATCATGTTCGTGGGGGTGGAGGGGCAGAAGGAGAGGCCCCGAGATAGGACAGATTCTTCTGCTGGGCTAAGAGTATAGTTGGATAGATTAACAATATTGGTGGTTGGGTTAAGGGAACCACTGTTGTGGCCCCTTGTGGCATGTAGTAGTTTAGATAGTTTAGCGTCCTTTTTCTTTTGTAGAGAAGCAAAGTGTGTGTTGTAAATGGCTTGTTTAGTTTTTGTAAAGTCCAGCCACGAAGAAGTTAGTGTGGAAGGTTGGTTTTTTATGAGAGTATCCAGGTTTGAGAGCTCACTCTTAAGCTTTCCCTGTTTGCTCTAGAGGATGTTGATCAGGTGGTTCCGCAGTTTCTTTGAGAGCGTGTGGCATTGTTTCATGTTCTCTATATGTATAGATCTCCCCACTGTATTTTCCACTGAATGCATCTGATGAAGTGAGCTGTAGCTCACAAAAGCTTATGCTCTAATAAATTTGTTAGTCTCTCAGGTGCCACAAGTACTCCTTTTCTTTTTGCGAATACAGACTAACACGGCTGCTACTCTGAAACCTATTTGTTATGAGTAAGCATTCATTACTGGTGGAAAATTCAGTAGAAACTACAGCAGGAATTGACAGAATATACAACTAGAAATGCAATAAAGATAAACAGAGCTTTAAAAAAAGTATTTTCCTCTTATTTTACCAGTGATGTAGATCATCAAAAAGCTGACTGGGTTAGCATCCATGAGAAAATATGCCAATTGTTGATTCCAATACGTACATCTTTTCCATTTTTCAATTCCGAAAAAGAAAGAAAACATGGCATGGAACAGCTTCTTCACAGGCAGGTATGTAAAAGAAAAAGAGACTATTACATGATTCTAGAAATAAGCATTCATCCTTTGCTCACTCCCATTCCATTGTTAATTTTTCCCCTATAGAAACACTTAGTTGACCTTACTCACAAAGTGGCCCAGAAGTTTGTGTTTGAAGGAAAACATGAAGAAGCAATTCCTGCAGCTTTACATTCTCTGCGTTTCAGCATTGATACCTGTGGCCCAGATTCTATGGAATTAGTTCCTGCTTATCTCATTTTAGCTGAGGCTAGCACTGGTAAGTTTTGCTGAAGCAAATAATATCAATGGTAAATCTAAAACCATAATGTTGGTATGTCACAGATCCACAGGTTTGATGCTATACCCCAAGCTTTGGAACAGTCTCTTGGAGGAACCCTTTCAGTCTCACTCTTCCTTCAGGGTAGACCATGTGGCCTCACTGTCTCCTAATACTGAACGTCCGAGACTTCAGCACTCCTGCTTCACACCGTGAGCTCTGATCAGCGAGTCCAACTGAGGTAGACTCCTGATAGAGACTTGTATGCTCGTCAGGGATTAATGCACCTCAGCATTTGCAGTGATACTCAAACAGAGTTGTCAAAACAGTTGGGTTTATCAATCAGCTGGAACACAGCATAGGAAGTCCCCAGGTTAGCACAGATAAATGAAGGTTAAATCATAAAAAGAAAAGGAGTACTTGCGGCACCTTAGAGACTAACAAATTTATTTGAGCATAAGCTTTCGTGAGTGAGCTGTAGCTCACGAAAGCTTATGCTCAAATAAATTGGTTAGTCTCTAAGGTGCCACAAGTACTCCTTTTCTTTTTGCGAATACAGACTAACACGGCTACTACTCTGAAACCGGTTAAAACATAGTTCAAGTACATTCTAATTAGCCCAGAGAGCCCAGCTAGGTTGTAGCAAACTCCATATTCAGGCTTTCTCGCTCTCTCTGTCTGACCTCCTTGGTCAGTTCTCAGGTGATAGCCCCCCAACTCCTTGCAGAAGCCATCTCTTATCTCCCACCTCACACTTTCCAGTCCTTTGTTCTTGAGCTGGGGTCTTTGCTTTGCTTCACTGCTGAGAGGTAGGGAAATCCATCTCCCTTTCTGTCACTGATTGGTAGGTGTCAATGTCCTGGTGATTGTCTTTTCCATACTCCATTGATATGGGGTTGGCCTCGGACAGTTCTTTTTAATGACCCATTCAGACTCAGACAGTTAGGTGACATTCATGCCTATGGGCATGTCTTCACTAGCAACGTTAAAGCGCTGCGGTCACGGCATCCTAGTCCAACTGTTTGAATGGCACAAATAGCTGTAAGAAAAGGAGTACTTGTGGCACCTTAGAGACTAACAAATTTATGTGAGCATAAGCTTTCGTGAGCTTCATCCGATGAAGTGAGCTGTAGCTCACAAAAGCTTATGGTCAAATAAATTTGTTAGTCTCTAAGGTGCCACAAGTACTCCTTTTCTTTTTGAGAATACAGACTAACACGGCTGCTACTCTGAAACAAAGAGCTATATTCTCTAAGCTTCTAAAAATTTGCTGACATTTGCCCTCTTTTTTCTTGAAATATAATTTCAGGTCTTGGCCATCTTACCCAGGCAGAGGAATACCTCTCACAAGCTCAGTGGATTGTCCTCAAAACTTCTGACTGCAGTAATGGCATTCAGTCTAAATTGCATCGTAACCTGGGTCTCCTCTATGCTGCTAAAGGAAATTTTGAAGAGTCTTTATACCACCTGGCTACTGATGTACGTAGAATAAAATACTGAAGTAGAAGAAAAATTCCTTATAATTGTACACAGTCCATGTAGCAATTGTTAGGAAAGCCCAACAGACACTTAGATTCTAGTACAGATTTTAGATACCATGCTAAGAATCACCTTTGAAAAACCTGTGCTAGATAGATACAACGGACAACACATGAGTACTTATCCAAAGTTGTGTTCTAGTAACTATTCTTATTTCTGTGAATTGTGTATTCCCTGTGTTCTTTATAGTATTATTAAATAATATTCATCAGCCTTTCTATTCAGTTGAGGTATACATTCCTACTGCAACCTGGTGTAGTTGCCTATCATTAAACAAATAGTCCATTTTATACTTGCAGCTATTTTATTTCTTGATCATTTTTGTTAGACAACAGTTACACTATTTATTCCATTATTTAAACAACTGCTTCCATAATATTTTCTCCAGAATTTTTTTGCCATATGATCATTTGGGAGAGTAGTCGTGCAAACTTTGTTCTCAGATGCACCTCCTTAGATGTTGCGGCTACTTAATCTCTCAAGAGTGGGCTTTGCCGTCAGTACTAGGAGAAAGGTTACTTTCCTAATAATTGTATTTCCTTGAGTAAATTGTCAGTACAGATCTGCCCTCACCCACCTGCTTTGTTCCTTCAGAGTATACAGAGGGGATTCTGACTGAGTAGAAAGTAACTGGAACAAGGTCAGGGCTGCTGCTTTTATACAGTTCCTTCTAAATACTCTCAATAGGCCTTAATGGAAGATGTATTAAGTCCATAGTCTCTGGTCCAAACTTTCCGTGTTGCAAGGGAGAATGCACACAGCCCTAATGGCCAGTGCTTTGCATGGGTTATCACGTAGGTGCTCCCATGAGTGTGGATCAGCGGTGTCAGTCCAGGTGCGTGACTATTGTTAGGAGTGCTAGTGCCCATATAGGATTCGGGTCTGTATTTTTGCCTGAGACAGTATTTTGAGTTTTGCTTGCCTGTTTGGTTTTATGATACACATACATTCTTACCCATATGTGTGAACAAAGGACAAAGACACTCTATGTGTTGCTTTTGCCCAAGCCAGAGGGTTTGTTAGTATAATGGGAACAAATAAGAGCAGTTAAAGTGTTGTTGGGCACGGTGAGAGTATAGTATATGAGCACACACTTGAAGACTGCCTCCACTCCTATCTCAAGGCAAGGTCAAGCAACCAGTTGGGAGGGGTGAGGGAAGATTGAGGGGAAGATAAAACACTAAAAGATCAAAGAAATGCCTGCCCATGACTGTAGCATACGTCACTCCTTACTCCTCCCGTGGGGTACAAAAGGGGTGGGATGGACACACAGCCACCCAAAACAGAACATGACCGTAAGTTCTAAGGGGTGGCACTGTGGGCGTGCATTTCAGGTATAAATATGCCTACTGAGGAGGAGGGAGACGGGACACTGGGAAACAAGGCTCTGCAGCGTCAAAGTTACGGTATACATGCTTGCTGGAAACTAACCCCAATAAACATAGCATTGCCTGCACTTCGGACTTCTGGTCTTTTGCTTTCTGTCTGCATGATAAGAACCAGGGGAGAGGGTGAAGGGAAAGCCCTCTAACTACTGTAGTTACTAAGTAATCTTTCTTTCTCTCCATCCAGTAGTTTTGTTCTTATTAATTTCAGGGATATTGACTCAGATTTACCAGGTTTCAGAGTAGCAGCCCTGTTAGTCTGTATTAGCAAAAAGAACAGCAGTACTTGTGGTACCTTAGAGATTAACAAATTTATTTGAGCATAAGCTTTCATGGGCTACAGCCCACTTCATTGGATGCATAGAATGGAACATATAGTAAGAAGATATTTATACGTACAGAGAACATGAAAAGGTGGAAGTACCCATACCAACTGTAAGAGGCTAATTAATTAAGGTTTCAGAGGAACAGCCGTGTTAGTCTGTATTCGCAAAAAGAAAAGGAGTACTTGTGGCACCTTAGAGACTAACCAATTTATTTGAGCATGAGCTTTCGATGAGCTATTACCAGCAGGAGAGTGAGTTTGTGTGTGTATGGGGGTGGGGGGGATGTGAGAAAACCTGGATCTATGCAGGAAATAGCCCGACTTGACTATGTAAAGAGTTGTCACTTTGGATGGGCTAGCACCAGCAGGAGAGTGAATTTGTGTGGGGGGGTGGAGGGTGAGAAAACCTGGATTTGTGCTGGAAATGGCCCACCTGTTGATCACTTTAGATAAGCTATTACCAGCAGGACAGTGGGGTGGGAGGAGGTATTGTTTCATATTCTCTGTGTGTATATAAAGTCTGCTGCAGTTTCCACGGTAAACATCTGATGAAGTGAGCTGTAGCTCACGAAAGCTCATGCTCAAATAAATTGGTTAGTCTCTAAGGTGCCACAAGTACTCCTTTTCTTTTTAATTAATTAAGAGAAGCTATTATCAGCAGGGGGGAAAAAACTTTTGAAGTGATAATCAAGATGGCCCATTTCAGACAGTTGACACGAAGGTGTGAGGATACTTAACATGGGGAAATAGATTCAAGTTGTGTAATGGCTCGGTCCCCATGTTAAGTATCCTCACACCTTCACTTCACTTCACTGTAGCTCATGAAAGCTTATGCTCAAATAAATTTAGTCTCTAAGGTGCCACAAGTACTCCTTTTCTTTTTGCGAATACAGATTAACACGGCTGCTACTCTGAAATTTGCCATCTCTGTGCCTCTGGACCAGGAGTATTCCTAGCTAGGGACATGAGGGAGGTTTTCAGTCCTTTGTGGAAAAAGGGAGAATCTGCATGGTTTTGGTGCAACATTTTAAACTTGGATTTAAATATAATTAATTTTGCATCTAATATTAGGTGGAAAATAGAAGAAATAAATAAAATATTGCTAATCTTCAAGTTAATAAACTTATCCCCAAACGTATTTGGATGTGAATATTAAGTTTATATAATTACATTTTATATATATCTATATTTCAGATTTATTTTGCCAGTTGTGCATTTGGAACTCATGACATTAGTACATCTGGAGGTTATTTCCACATGGCTAATGTGTTCTTTCGTCAGAACAAAATGGACATTGCAGACTCACTGTACACTGAGGTTAGTAGCACCAGTAAATTTTTCTGATATTTACAAGTTTTCTTGAGGTTATTCTCAATGTTTGTGTGTTACTGACTCCCCTTAGTGTTATAATGACCCTGGGCCAAGTGTGAAAGTGCCACTTGAGCCCCCGATCCTGCAAACACTTTTAATATGTGTTTAACTTTGCTTTTGTAAATTGTCCCATTGCAGCTAATGGGACTGCTCACGTGCTAAAGTTATGTACGTGCTTCAGTGCTCTGCTGGGACGGGGCTTAAAATAAAACATTATTATTAACTTGAAAGTAAGCTACTACTTATTCAAATATTTCTCTGAGTTACAACTAGGATAGAGAAAGATAAATTTAAAAAAATCAGATTTTAAAAAACATGTAAACATAGACCTCTTAAAAATTTATATTTGAATTTGCAGTCATTTTTCTTATGGAGAAAGGTTGTTATTCACTTTTATAATAATTTAAATACATTTTAAAATGTACAGTTTAATATGTTGAGTCAGTATATCTTGCATTGAGAATCTATGCAATTGTGATCCCAGAATCATATCCCATATATTGTTCAGTACAGTAACCTACTTTATTAAACAGTAAAAACAAAACTCAATGAAGACATTTTATAGCCCAAGCTTTAGAGCAACACTGAGGGTTGTACTGGTAACTTGCTGGGTAATAGATGCTGCCTGTTCCCTAGGACTGTTCCCAAGGAAGCTTGCTTCCTTCCAGGAGTGCAGATGTAGTGCTAACAAGCCCCAAACTCTAGCTGATTATGAGATGGTGAAGGCTTCTTAGTGAATTTTTTCACAGCTTTACCATAGGCATCAAGGACAAGAATCATTTAGATTGCTCCAGTCTTCACTGGCTTTAGAACTGTCTTTAAAAATGGCTTTAAATGTGGTTCAAACAGTCAAAGCAAAGCAAATTGCTAACAATTATACCTGTTTATGGGGCCAAATCATGTTAATCCTGTATTTAAAATATATTCTTGAGATCACCTAGCCACAAACATTATTTTAAACATGGAGTTAACACTGTTTGTTCCCCACCTGTCTATATTGCTCAGCCAAACCCTGCTATAAAAATCAATTTTGCTACTAAAACATTTGCATTGTGGTTAAACAGTCCCACGGCTAGGGAAGATGGGTCTCATGAGCACCTTGGCCAGGGAAGATGGACTTAGGAGTAATAGAAAGGAACAAAGTTTCAGCTGAACCTTTGAAAAAAATTCATTATGATGGGAGCTGGTAGAACATAGAATAATCACAAAAGGAAGATGGTGGTGGCCCACTCACTTGAATCATTTAAGACTGTACTGTGCAATGTTCTGGAAAATGCGCAAAAGGAAAGGGCAAAACACATGCCCTTTTTAAATATTGTGTAATAATTTTGTATGTTAATTCTTTTTCCTTCTCAATAGGTAAGCGATATCTGGCATGCCCATTTCAGTCGACTGATTCAAGTCCAATCACAAACTCTGACTTCTCCAGCAGAAATTAATATATTGTCTGAAGAAGTGGAAATCAGTGAAGAACCTCTGAGTAAATCCAATTTTCAGTATTATTATTATTCATAGAACACAGAAGAGTTTGAAGGGAAGGAGCCATAGAATGTTCTCTAGTCCTTTCCACTGTTTGTTTTTGTATGAGTCTTGGGAGTCTGACATTTCTATAGACCAAATCCTGTGGGGTCTCTTTGAGCCATTAGCTTTAAGAATTGAGATTTTGATGTCACTATCTTTCAGAAATTAGTTTCCATTGAAGCATTTTCAGTTATTTACATTTTTCTTATTTAAGTTGAAACCCACTAAAGTGAAGTTTCAGCCTGTTGAGGTATGTGTATGGCTCCTTATCTCTTTAACCAGTAGAACCCCATGGACAAGTTATGTTCTGGAAGTGGAACATATTAATCTGTCTAATAGTCTCAGACCAGGGGTTGTGGAAGCCCCATCATATGAGTGAAGTGCTAGCAAATGTACTGCTTTATATGGAACAGTCCTGCACTGATGGGAGACAAGACAGAGTAGATGCTCTATCTTGTCTTTTCCATCTACAATGGCTATGATTCTGTGACTGTTCTCAGAGAGGACAGGATGATGTTTCAGTGTACGTTTGTGTGACATTACTTCCATTTATAAAACTATTATAAACTATAAGCATAAACTATTGCAAAAATCTCACACTAAGAAGTTGCTGCATGTTGCCAGCTTCAATAATCACAGTAATGTAAGACTTGCTGTTTCAGGACAGACAGTACAATGATGTGCAGTAGTATAAATCACTTCTATAGTGCAACCTTCTTCAGAAGCTGAAACATGTCTATTGACTTCTCATGATATCCGCTGTGGATAGCAAAAGTGAAACAAAAGCAGACAAAATGCAGAACACAGGTTTGCATTTTAAGTGACAATCAGCCCTAAAGAGCCATCCTCCGATGGGGCCCCTTTCAGGGCCAGCACCGCAAACCCTATTCCAGGGTCACTTCTCAAGGTGCTGCATTTTACAGACCTTGAAGGCACATGTCATCTTGCTTCAGGAGATGCACTCCACCACCAGTGTTCCACCACAACCATCTATTGTGCCAACTTCAGTTCTTGCCATGTCAATTGGGGATATCCTGGCAACAACAGAGAGAGAGAGAGTCTAATGGAGTGGGCCTCAGTCACTGACCTACAACTTCTCTAAAACCCAAACCAAACCTCCATATTTCACTTAGCAGATGGGCAACAGTCTCTTCACCCAGAATCATCTTTTCATCTTCCACACAACTGCCGCTAGTGGTCGTAGAGTGGAAGATGCTTGAAGCTTTTCCAAAGTCTTAGCCTTGGCCATCCTTGATCACCCCAGGCCTGTGGAGATCACTAACAAACCGCCTACAGAAGGCTGAGTGGTATTTTCTGAATGCCTGGTAGGAGGCCTTTTAAAGCAGAACTAGAGGCATCTATTAGTGAGCTGGCTGAATTGGACTTGAAATGTCCAGCCAATATAAATGACTCCTACCAAATTTTCTCATTTAACTGCTGGATCAAACTAGGCACAATCAACGGAGAGAGACAGGCACAAAGATGGACCATAAAAAGACTTTTTGGAGATTCCAGTCACAGCAAAAAGGAGTTTTCAGTCACTGCAAATGCTGTTGTATTCCAGCTAGTAGCTAATGACCACGCACAGAATTTGAATAAATCTTTCAGCTATGTGCTCAGAACTGAGGTTACAGAGAGATGACAGGCTCCTAGTGTGGATTCAAACCTGTTGGCTCCTTTTTCACACAAAGAGCCAGGTCATTAAGCTTATGAAAACGGGAAAGGCTCCAGGCCTGGATTATAATTTATATCCATATCAAGTTCCTACTTCACCAAGAACTGAAAGAAAAAAGCCTGCTGCTTTAGTTCCTCAACTGATGTTTTCCAAGACAACTGCATTCCAAAAATCTGGCCCAGAGCAAAGGTCGTAGCCACTCTGAAATGAGGAAAACCACTGGAAGATCCCTAGAGCTATTGACCCATCTCTCTCCTCTGTGTCAGATACATGCTTATAAAGAGACTGATTCTGATGCACATCAGCAAGGTTATCAAACCACAATTACCCTTTGTTCAGGCTGGTTTCAGATCTTGATGATGTACCCAAGATCAAGTCATTCGCCTAACATCAGACATCGAAGATGATTTCAAGAAAGTTGGTGCCGTTATGGCTGACCTGTCAGCTGCATGTGACAATGTCCGGCATGTGGGGCTGTCAGGTTGTTGCAGACTGTTCTCTGTAAGCCCTTGGTGCGGTTCATCATGGAAATGATAACGAATCAGAGCTTCACCTTGCAAACTGGAAACAGTCAGTTGGCTTAGGCATCTCTGTAACAGACTCCCACAAGGTTCCATTCTACCTTGTTTCCTTTTCAACATACGTACTTATGACTTATCAACAGCTAAGACCAATAAGTATGTATATGCGGATGATATCTGTCTTGCTGATGTGGCATCTACATGGTATCGAAGGGTCACTCAGCCAAGAAATAAATGAACTGGCCATTTACCATTGTTAGTGGAGACTTTAAGTGAGTCTAATATGGTGGCTGCAACTTTCCTTTTGAACGGTTGTCTGGCCAATCAACCCCTTACAGTCTGTGCTGAGGATTTTCAACTTCCTTTCAGCCAGTTGTCACTTATTTAGGAGTCAAACTGGACCATAGTCTGACATATAGGTCTCATCTAGAACACTTAGGCCTGGTCTACACTACGAGTTTAGGTCGAATTTAGCAGCTTTATCTCGATTTAACCCTGTACCCGTCCACATGATGAAGCCCTTTTTTTCGACTTAAAGGGCTCGTAAATTCGATTTCTTTACTCCACCCCTGACGAGTAAAGATTAACGCTGAAATGGGCCTTGCCGGGTCGAATTTGGGGTACTGTGGACTCAATTTGACGGTATTGGCCTCTGGGAGCTATCCCAGAGTGCTCAGTTGTGACCGCTCTGGACAGCGCTTTCAACTCAGATGCACTGGCCAGGTAGATTGGAAAAGGCCCACGAACTTTTGAATTTCATTTCCTGTTTGGCCAGCGTCGTGAGCTCACCTGCACAGGTCACCATGCAGCGGTCATCATCACAGGAGACCATGCAGTCCCAGAATCGCCGAAGAGCTCCAGCATGGACCAAACAGGAGGTACAGGATCTGATCGCTGTATGGGGAGACGAATCCGTGCTATCAGAATTCCATTCAAAAAGACGAAATGCCAAAATATTTGAAAAAATCTCCAATGGCATGAAGGACAGAGGCTACAACAGGGACCCGCAGCAGTGCCGAATGAAAATTAAGGAGCTCAGGCAAGCCTACTAAAAAAACAGAGAGGCAAACGGCCGCTCCGGTTCAGAGCCCCAGACATGCCGCTTCTATGATGAGCTGCATGCTATTCTAGGGGGTGCAGCCACCACTACCCCAACCCTGTGTTTTGACTCCGTCCAAGGAGTGGCAGGCAACATGGAAGCGGGTTTTGGGGGCGAGGAAGATGATGATGAGGAGGAGGCTGTAGATAGCTCACAGCAAGGAAGTGGAGAAACCAGTTTCCTCAAAAGCCAGGATCTGTTTCTCACCCTGGACCTGGAGCCAGTACCCCCCGAACCCACCCAAGGCGGGCTCCCGGACCCTGAAGGCGGAGAAGGGACCTCTGGTGAGTGTACCTTTGTAAATATTATACATAGTTTAAAAGCAAGCTTGTTTAATGATTAATTTGCCCTGGCATTTGCGGCCAGTATAGCTACTGGAAAAGTCTGTTAACGTGTCTGGGGATGGAGCGGAAATCCTCTAGGGACATCTCCATAAAGCTCTCCTGGATGTACTCCCAAAGCCTTTGCAAAAGGTTTCTGAGGAGAGCAGCCTTATTCCGTCCTCCATGGTAGGACACTTTACCATGCCAGGCCAATAGCACGTAGTCGGGAATCATTGTGGAACAAAGCATTGCAGCATACGGTCCTGGTGTTTGCTGGCATTCAAACAACAGCCGTTCTTTATCTCTCTGTGTCAAAAGCTTTGCTAAAGTCAAGGAACAACACGTGCACTGCTTTCCCCTCATCCACAGAGCCAGTTATCTCATCATAGAAGGCAATTAGATTAGTCAGGCATGACTTGCCCTTGGTGAATCCATGCTGACTGTTCCTGATCACTTTCCTCTCCTCTAAGTGCTTCAGAATTGATTCCTTGAGGACCTGCTCCATGATTTTTCCAGGGACTGAGGTGAGGCTGGCTGGCATGTAGTTCCCAGGATCCTCCTTCTTCCCTTTTTTAAAGATGGGCACTACATTAGCCTTTTTCCAGTCGTCCGGGACTTCCCCGATCGCCATGAGTTTTCAAAGATAATGGCCAATGGCTCTGCAATCTCATCCACCAGCTCCTTTAGCACGCTCGGAGTGGCCGTTCCTGTATTCATGTCCAGTGGTGCCGGCCCAGTGCCAATATTGGTACAACAGCACATCAGGGTGACAGTTATGTTCTTATAGAGTGGCAGCAACTTTGGGATAGAGAGACAGACATGCACGAATTTCAGAAGCTGTAATTTTCACCCATCCTTTGCAAGTTGGTATGTAGATCTTGAACTAGGCTTAACAAGCTGCTGACTGGAATGGCCAGAGTGACTGCCACAGTGCAGAAATTTAACATAGCCCAGTCTTCACAGCATGACTGCAGGGCAGTGATGCAGATGGTCAAACATGTGGAGGAGTGCACAATTAGAAGATTAGAGGGTAGATTGCAGCATCTTGCTATCCTTGATGATGCAGCAGTTAAATGGCTGAATAATCTAGATATTGACTTGTGACGCACATCAGAGAAGAGGCTGAAACAGCAAACTTGCCATTTGCAGGTGAAAATATAGAGATTTTAATATGCTTACTTTTAGAATTTGTATGGAAATCAGATATCAGTGTGATGTGAGGTATAAATGCCTAAACAGAACAGATAGTTAGCTTGTTTTAGTAGTATATTATCTTGTATGCTATCCATCCATCTTAAATGTTTCATTCTCAATGTAGATGAAGCTCAGCAAGCCGAAGCAAGTCAAGTACTGAATGCAATATTAGATATCAGAGAACAGGCACCAAAGCAACAGCCTGCTAAAACTGCCAGTGTTGTACATGGTCTTGCAATGCTTCATTACTTGATCTTGGATTTACCAAAGGCAAGTTTGACCTAGTGATTGTTTTCATTTTTAATTAAACCACTATATTTTTGATTCACACTATAACATTAAATGCAGGAGCGCTTGCCTCAGAGAATGCATAATTCATGGGAAACAGTATTTTACTGCTTTCTAGCAAATAGAGCCACATTCCAGTATTTATTTATTTACTTATTTTAAATACCTAGGAAATTAAATTTAAAAATACTATGTTAATGTTAAAGTTACAAAGCAAAGTACTCAAAATCAGGTAATGGCAAGTTAAAGTTCCTTATACAGCTTAGACTCTGTGCCTTTGTGCATATGCATTACAATACAGTCTTAATTGCATGATTACATACCACTTTTTGTCATTCAGCACGCAGGTTGGATGTTGTGCAGTGAATGAGACAAGGGTTCTATATATGAATGCCTGATTTTGGACCTTTTTGCAGTTATCATGATATAAATATGGATTCATTCAGTCTGCTGAAGTCAATGGGTTTAATTTTGAATTTGCACTAGTGTATTTGAGAGCAAAGGGTTAATATTTTCAAATGTGTCAAGGTGCCTCTATTTTGGGGCATCCATATTTTAAAGGGGGTGGATTTTTGGAAAGTGCTGAGCACTGCCCATTTGAAAATCAGACCCCTTTAATTTGTCTCAAGTTGGGCATCCAAAATCATCAATCACTTGTGAAAGTCGTGGCTTTTGTGCGTGAGTGAGGCTGGGGTGTATACTGATAAGGTTGGTGTGTTTTATGCATCAGGATGAGGTCATGTCGCAGTAACAGTATGTGATCCTGTTATTCAAGACTGTATCAGAATGATTACAAACAAGGGGGCAGAGTTAAGGTTGCACAAGTTGAAAATTATTAGAGATGGGTAAGACTTCCTTATGAACAGAGATGGAAACAACTGGGAATGTTTAGTTTGGAGAGGAAGCCAGATGGTAGAGTTATGCAAAATAACAAATAGAGACTGTAAATACATGAACAAAGACTTTTTAAGATGTTTGAATTAGCACTGCATGACATTTTGATTTAAAAACTTGCATGATACAGTATAAATGAAGCAAATGTTAAATGGATTGAGAACTGACTAACTGATAGATCCAGAAAAGTAGTTGTATTTGAAAAACCATAAAATGTGATTATGACACAGAGATTGATGGAATGGTAAACGATGGCATATTATTCAATAGTTGCCCACTAGGAGATTTCTTACAACTTTCTCCAAAGCAGCTTGTGCTGGCTGCTCTCTGAAACAGGATAATGGACTAGAAGAGCCTTGGCTCTGATCCAGTATGGCAATTCCTTTGATCCTGTCTGTATATTTTTCCTACCCTAGTGAGAAAAGACTGTATAACTATTTCATGGCAATTATTTTGTATCTTTTTTTAAATGTCGTTTCAGGCTCATGATCTTGGGATGAAAGCTTTTCTAATAACCAAACAATTGCCAAACCAAGATGCATCAGAAGCTATTCATCATCTATTAAAATTGATTAAATCCAAACCTTTCTACACAAAATAGGGTGCAGTTTCTTCACCTCTTTATCTTTTCAACTAGGTTGCATTACGAGTGTTGTACTTTTGCCTGCTATCACCTGTCTAGAAACATTCTCTGTATATTTGTTTGCTTTTATTAAAATTATACTTTATGCCAGTTTTAGTTTATCATAGCTGATTTGATTTTATATGGATGGTGGTAATATATAACAATATAGCAGGGTAGGAAATGAGAATATGATCAAAACAGGATTAACAACTTTAAAACAAATGCGTAGCCAATACGATGAACAAGCAAAATATGCAACAATTTCTCCATGCTGTCTCTCTGAAAAGTTCTCTTAGTACAGTATATTTCAGTGGTGGAGATGAATGTTGTGTCCTTGTTCTTTTCTTCAAATGTCTCAGTTTATAGCTTTCAAATATGGTCAAGCAGACAGCTTTGAGGAGGAAATGTTTTAGATCTCCTGGGCAGAAAATCCTATTCATCTGCTACCCTCCAATTTCGAACGTCCAACTATGAGGCCCTTATGGCCAAATACGATTATAAAAGTTATTCTAAGCTGGAGGAACTTTGCTAGGATCTGCCAGAGGAAAAAAGGGAACAATTCCTGCCCCTCATTTCGGATGGTCACTTAATAGCCCTCAAGGCCCTGCAAGCCTCCCTGGACTGCGCTAACACAACTGCCCGATCCATTGCTACTGTGGTAGTAATGCAACGTGCCTCATGGTTGCACCTTTTTGGATTCCCTAAGGAGGTGCAAAATACGGTTGAGGATCTCCCGTTTGAGGGACAAAAACTCTTTTCTGAGCACATGAACAGCTCCTTACACTCATTGAAAGACTCCCAAGCCACTCTAAAATCCCTTGGTGTGTACACACCACAGCCAAAACGGAGACCGGGGAAATATCAGCTCCCTCCATGATCTTGCCCTCAGCCATACTACCCACAGCAGCCGTTTGACAACCAACACCGTCATCACCGACTTCCCAACAGGTGCAGACAATCGCCTGCATGAGGGACACCGTCCCAAACACCCTCTCATAAGCAACAAATTTGAAGGTGGGTCGAGCTCCAGAGACCCTCCTGCCGGCTCCAGTTGCCCCTATCATCTGTAACGCCATCTACACACCAACAGTTTGGCAATTGCCTAACTCCATTTTTAGCATCTTCAATGCTCATTACCTCGGACAGATGTGTCTTAGAAATACTAAAGGAAGGTTACTCCATCCCCTTCCTGGCTATACCATCCCACCAACCCCCCTCCCTGTCCCTCTTCAGGGACCCTCTCATGAGCCCATACTGGAGAGGGAGGTAAGACATCTTCTTCAACTGGGAGCCATAGAACCAGTCCTCCACAACACAGAGGACGCAGTTACTACTCTCATTACTTCTGACACAAAAGAAGTATGGCAGTTGGTACCCCATCCTAGACCTTTGCAATCTCAACAAGTTTGTCAAACTACAACGTTTCAGGATGGTCACCCTATCCACCATCATCCTTGGAACAGGGGGATTGGTTCTGGGCCTTTGACCTACAGGACTTTCATATTGCATCATGTGACAGGTTGAATCCCCCCACTATCCGGGATGCCACCTGATGCACTGGTGTCCCATTGCGTCTACCCGTTCCACCAGTCTGGGCTTCCTCACCTTGTCCTTGCTGTGCCAGGCCCTCAAGCCTTCTCTAGCACACACACAAGTAAGGCCACACCCAGCTGCAGACTGAAATCTATGTGGGAAATCTGTGTGGGAAGATTCAGTTGGGGATTTACTCAGCACTCATGTGTGCACCTCCCTTGGGGTGTAAATCCAAAATAATATTGTCTTGTGCTGTATAGAGAGATCTGCCCTCTCCCTCAATGTGGAGAGAGAAATGCACAGCTTTTTGTGCCCCCCCCCAGATATGAATGGCATAAACTGGGTTTTAAAATAAACAAGAAATAAGTTTATTAACTACAAAAGGTAAATTTTAAGTGATTATAAGGCAGGGGTGGGCAAGCTATGGCGCGCCGGCCACATCCAGCCTGCCAACTGATTTAATTTGGCCCTCGAGCTCCTGCTGGGGAGTGGGGTCGGGGGCTGCTCTGCATGCGTGTGCGCGGCTCTGTGTGGCTCCCGGAAGCAGCGGTGTGTCCCCCCTCCAGCTCCTATGCAATGGGGCAGCCAGGGGGCTCTGCGCGCTGCCCCCGCCCCAAGTGCCCCTCCTGCAGCTCCCATCAGCCAGGAACTGCAGCCAATGGGAGCTGCAGGGTGGCACCTGCAGACAGGGCAGCGTGCAGAGCTGCTTGGCCATCCTTCTGTTTAAGAGCTGGAGAGGAGACATGCCACTACTTCTGGGAGCTGCTTGAGGTAAGCACTGCCTGGAGCCTGCACCCCTGAGCCCCCCTGCCCCAGCCCGGAGGCCCCTTCCACACCCTGAACTCCTCATTTCTGGCCCCACTCCAGAACCTGCACCCCCAGCCAGAGCCCTTACCCCCTCCTGCACCCCAATCCCAATTTAGTGAGCATTCATGGCCTGCCATACAATTTCCATAACCAGATGTGGGCCTTGGGCCAAAAAGTTTGCCCACCGTTGTTATAAGGGAAAGCAAAAAGCACAAAGCAGATTACTGAGCAAATAAAACAAAACATGCAAACTAAGCTTAAGAAACAGGTTACAAAATGTAATTTCTCACCCTAAATGTTGTTGTAGGCAGGTTACAGGGTTTTTGTACCTTAGAGTTCCAGTTATTTCTCTTTACAGACTGGACTTCTGTCTCAGTCTGGGGTCAGCCCCTGCCTTTCCCTTCAGGTGTTTTTAGCCATCTTCCTTCTTGGATGTGAAGGCAATGGAGAAGAGTCTTGATTGATTTACTCCCCAGCCTTAAATAGAATTTACATAAGGCTGGAGCCCTTTGTTTTCAGTGGAAAAATACCAGCAGTGTCCAAGGTGGTACTCAGTACCAGGTGACATCATAAATGACCCTGCAGTGTCAAAGCAACATCCCAGGAAGCTCCTCAGGCAGGTGGGAGATTAGTATCTCCAAAGTTCTATTGTCCTTCTTAAATGGCTCATTCAGGCTGATTGCCTGCTGTCTGGTAGGCATTTCCCCAAGTACACACACAGTTGTAATGGTTACATAGTCAATATTCCTAACTTCAGATGCAGAAATGATACATACATACAAACTAGATAAACACATTCAGTAGATCATAGCCTTTTCAATAAGAAAAGGAGTACTTGTGGCACCTTAGAGACTAACCAATTTATTTGAGCATGAGCTTTCGTGAGCTACAGCTCACTTCATCGGATGCATACCGTGGAAACTGCAGCAGATATTATATACACACAGAGATCATGAAACAATACCTCCTCCCACCCCACTCTCCTGCTGGTAATAGCTTATCTAAAGTGATCATCAAGTTGGGCCATTTCCAGCACAAATCCAGGTTTTCTCACCCTCCACCCCCCTACACACAAACTCACTCTCCTGCTGGTAATAGCCCATCCAAAGTGACAACTCTCTTCACAATGTGCATGATAATCAAGGTGGGCCATTTCCTGCACAAATCCAGGTTCTCTCACCCCCTCACCCCCCTCCAAAAACCACACACACAAACTCACTCTCCTGCTGGTAAAAGCTCATCCAAGGTGGGCCATTTCCAGCACAAATCCAGGCTCTCTCACCCTCCCCCTTCCCCCCCCCCCCGGGACACACACACACACAAACAAACACAAACTCACTCTCCTGCTGGCAATAGCTCATCCAAACTGACCACTCTCCAAGTTTAAATCCAAGTTTAACCAGAACGTCTGGGGGGGGGGGGTAGGAAAAAACAAGGGGAAATAGGCTACCTTGCATAATGACTTAGCCACTCCCAGTCTCTATTTAAGCCTAAATTAATAGTGTCCAATTTGCAAATGAATTCCAATTCAGCAGTTTCTCGCTGGAGTCTGGATTTGAAGTTTTTTTGTTTTAAGATAGCGACCTTCATGTCTGTGATTGCGTGACCAGAGAGATTGAAGTGTTCTCCGACTGGTTTATGAATGTTATAATTCTTGACATCTGATTTGTGTCCATTTATTCTTTTACGTAGAGACTGTCCAGTTTGACCAATGTACATGGCAGAGGGGCATTGCTGGCACATGATGGCATATATCACATTGGTGGATGTGCAGGTGAACGAGCCTCTGATAGTGTGGCTGATGTTATTAGGCCCTGTGATGGTGTCCCCTGAATAGATATGTGGGCACAGTTGGCAACGGGCTTTGTTGCAAGGATAAGTTCCTGGGTTAGTGGTTCTGTTGTGTGGTATGTGGTTGTTGGTGAGTATTTGCTTCAGGTTGCGGGGCTGTCTGTAGGCAAGGACTGGCCTGTCTCCCAAGATTTGTGAGAGTGTTGGGTCATCCTTCAGGATAGCTTGTAGATCCTTAATAATGCGTTGGAGGGGTTTTAGTTGGGGGCTGAAGGTGATGGCTAGTGGCGTTCTTTTATTTTCTTTGTTAGGCCTGTCCTGTAGTAGGTAACTTCTGGGAACTCTTCTGGCTCTATCAATCTGTTTCTTCACTTCCGCAGGTGGGTATTGTAGTTGTAAGAAAGCTTCACAGAGATCTTGTAGGTGTTTGTCTCTGTCTGAGGGGTTGGAGCAAATGCAGTTGTATCGCAGAGCTTGGCTGTAGACGATGGATCGTGTGGTGTGGTCAGGGTGAAAGCTGGAGGCATGTAGGTAGGAATAGCGGTCAGTAGGTTTCCGGTATAGGGTGGTGTTTATGTGACCATTGTTTATTAGCACTGTAATGTCCAGGAAGTGGATCTCTTGTGTGGACTGGACCAGGCTGAGGTTGATGGTGGGATGGAAGTTGTTGAAATCATGGTGGAATTCCTCAAGGGCTTCTTTTCCATGGGTCCAGATGATGAAGATGTCATCAATATAGCGCAAGTAGAGTAGGGGCTTTAGGGGACGAGAGCTGAGGAAGCGTTGTTCTAAATCAGCCATAAAAATGTTGGCATACTGTGGGGCCATGCGGATACCCATAGCAGTGCCGCTGATCTGAAGGTATACGTTGTCCCCAAATGTAAAATAGTTATGGGTCAGGACAAAATCACAAAGTTCAGCCACCAGGTTAGCCGTGACATTATCGGGGATAGTGTTCTTGACGGCTTGTAGTCCAT